GTCATAATCTACTATGGCGTCATGAGCCGTTTGGAGACGAGTCCAAAAATTGTCAATATTTTGTTTTTTTATTTCCAATAACGATTCAGAAATGTCTTGAATCGGTGAAAATGAAAATCGAGTGCAGTATCGTGTTAATCTGTCACTCTCGGAAATGAATTTGGCAACACAAATATTTTTGCCCTTTATTTGCTTTGTGGTAACCTGTCTTGCGCGTGTAGCTTCTGCAGGTGTAATTTGATTTTTATCGTCATTAACCATTTTTGTTTTGTTATTTATTACTATATGTGTCAAAGTTAATTGAAATTTTCTCAGTGTAAACTGATTTAAACGCAGCAATAAATGATAATTAATACCGAATACTATTTTACGTATATACGATTTTTTTTTTCGGACTAGATATATATTTACTTGCGAAATAATTTTTTAATTTGTATTTTATTTTAAATATATATTTGTCAGCGTAATTTAAATTTTCTTAATTTAGTTATTAAGAATGACACTTTTAATTTAATAATACTTATGTTCTTATGTTGGTGTATTTAGGTACACCCTAATACACGGACTTGTGTGTACATATATATTTATGTGCTCGTGAAATTGAGAGCTCGTTGAAGAGATCAATACGAATTGTTTGTGCGTATGTAATATTTTTATTTTCTAGGGCAATTGAGAGCTCGTTGTAGAGATCAATTTGCTTTTACTTTTGTGTACGCAATCCTGCTTGTTTGTTACAAGGGGTATTGCGGGATGTATGCCAATGTGGACTTTGAAACTTTTGTTTTTAATAAATTATTTCTTATTTTTAATATCTAGTAGTGTTATCTTTACCACAACGTTTATTGTTTTATTTTTCATGTAATTTTGTAAATTTTCAATGTGTAATTGACCCAATGTATATAGGGTATATAAGCATAGGCATAGATTATATGCCGTATGTATAAATATGTATGTTCGCACTGCGAAGAGAGCGCGAAAGCGAAGTGAATAATGTGCAGGTATTTTCCCTTATGCACTTTGTAAATATATTTTTGTTTATATATATTTGTTTAGTAAAAATATATATATAACGACATATATAGATATAATATGTAAACGTTAATTCGATATGCATATATGTATGTTTGTCTGTTGTATTTTTATTTCTTTCTCTGTTTGTTTTATGTTTGATATTTTGCCTTTGCTTACTTATTGAATGCAATCCTGCTTATTGCTATATTAAGCATAAGGGGTATTGCTGGATTAATGTGCAAGTGTATACTTGAATTGGTTTTTGTTTTTTTTTGTTTTTTTTTTTTGGTTCTTGATGGTGTGTTTGAACACACGAAGGTAAGCTTTTAATTGGGCAATAAGTTAAGATCCATTTTTTTTTTTAAATATATAAGTATGTATTTGAAATACACTCGGAATTGTGTCAGTTTGGTAACCGTTTTTTTATGCTGTTAAAACGGATTTTCTGTTACAGGTTTTATGTTATAATATATAAAACTGAAATTTTTACATACATATACGCATAAAATAAGATATGTAAATGAAATAAATACGCTCACTTTGTAGGGTATACGGTTTTTACATATACATATATTTATTTATATTTCCTTTTGTGCCAATTCGTGTGTTTATTCTCCAGCTGCTTACAGGTATGCTTTGTTGTTGTTTTTTGTTTAAAAATTCGCGCCCGTTTGTTCTATTTATGTTTTGTGCTAAGATTTCGCGGCCGGTTGTGTGAATTTTTGTTTGTTTAAAATGTTTATATGTTTGTTGAAATACATATATATATACATTAGCACTGTATCTTTGGTGAGGTTTGTGTTACATTTTTAAATTTAATAATTGTTATTTTGTCACTGCACCATTTTTAACATTTTTTGACTTAAATTGCAAATTTTGTTACTTTTTTGTTGTTCCACTGCACTGCTCTTTGTTACTTGTTTGTAATAATTATTAATTGTGTTTCTTAACACAGTTTTGTAAAAATCCGAAGGTGCCTTTCGGTAAGGCTCGAAGGACCATGAATAATTATGCTATAATGTTAGCACTCAACATTGACATTATTACTTCCCGTTTCTTTCACAAACGCCTTTTTAAGGTTTAAATTGAAATATTCTTTATTTTTTTATTGAATGTTTCACAAGTTTTTTATTGGTTTAATACTTTTGTGATAAAAATTAATACTACGATTTTAAACTCAGAAAGTTTTGACGGTTGGTAGCGGAGATAGCGATTTCATACATTTACGTTGCGCAAAGAGATCGGAATTATTTCGAATGTGTTGAATTGAAGATCCAATCCCTCTTTTTGTTGATTGTGTGGGGTGTCATCGTGTATGGTGGTAACTTCTGTGCTGACATCGTGTGCAGTGTGGTCGTTTATGTGTGAGTGCGTGTTGTGTTCCAAGGTGTGGTGTGTTGTATTAGGGTGTGACATTATTTACCCTGAAGAAGCGGTGTAGTTGGAAGGGGAGTTTATAGTCAGTTAAACAATCTGAAAGTAAAATCTTCTTCTGTACTGGCGAGTTTGAATTGCTTGATGGCTTATAACTCGCTATCATCCTTCTCACTAGAGCTGCTTGTGAGGTGTGAAAGGTTGACCTCATCGACAGGTAACTTCTCCGTACTTGCAACTACACACAAGGTTGCAGACTCTTCGCTAAATTCAGCAACACTGTTCTCATCTTTAGCAACTGGGTTTTTACTAGCGGTTTACTATGCCCACATCCAGTCTCATAGACCGACTTAGTACTCGCTTGCAACACGTGCTACTTCCCAAACCTTTCTTTCACGGATTTGCTTGCGATACCTCCTAACAGGTTCCACATACTGCTCACTATCCTACTGTACCCTTGTGTCAACCTTCTTCGGCTTGAGATCGGCGCCATCCTCCGTAACAAATAGATCGACGTGTCTCAAAACGTCACTTCCAATAACAAGCGCATATTTAATCTCTCGTTCTCCCACTTCATAAAATATTTCTTTTAATTTAATTTTATCTACTTAACTCGATGGATGTGGTAAATCTACCCATTGTTGCAAGTTTGCTTGTACCAATCGCCATCAACTGTTGCTGCTCACTACTCACTTAGGTCAACGTCCAGACTAAGTATGTTTAACGTATCGTAACGTATATTGCATAAGTCAATCAATGCCGACGCACTTTTTCCGTTGAAGTTTACATCCTTAAAGATCAACCTACTTCATTTCATCGTCAGGTTTAAAATTTCGATTTGATGCGCGTGCGCACTGTTATGTTAAGCCATCTCTTTGCTGTACTGTACCTCGTGCTTGTGTCGTTTATGCTGTATTTTACCCCTCGCCCTGTATTTTTCTACTTTCCGCTGCACATCCTCATCGACGCCAACGTGATTGCTGTATATTCTTCTACAGCTCTTACAGCTGTACTTTAAAAATTACCGCAACACACATGCACGGACCACTCAAACGGACAAATGGAAATACACAACGCACTTTGTGTTATTTTACACTTATAATTATTTATTCGCTTTAATAAGAATGTCCGCTGTGGTCCGTGGTCGTGCTTGATCTGTCCTCTTGTCTTCGTCCCGTCTAGTCTCTACTATCCGAATATCGTTCGTTTCCCCTGTTCTTAGCGCAGTGTCGTATTTACATATGGTGCGAGTACACGATCTCGTATGAAATTATAGTGCCCAAGTGCCAAAATACGGTGACTTTCGGCAAAGGTTTCTTCATATTAAATTCAAGAAGAATTACGCGCAAAAATATTACATATTTGAGTAAAAAATACTTGCTGTTATGGATGACATATGTATACTGAAAAAGACGCAAAAGGACAGGAGTTTCCCAACGCATGTTCGGAATATTGAAAAAATAAGTTACGCGATCTCTTGGCACACCACGCAAATGTATGTAGTTATAGACAAAATAGCATTAGGCGTGGCTATGATCCGATTTTGGCCGCTTACATTCTGTAAAAAGAATGTTAGGATAGTGTTGTGCATCAAACTTGGTAAAAATGGGTCTAATAATTCCAGAGATATAGAATTTCAGCTAAAAGTGGGCGGTGAAACGCTCATTGTCCAAATTTTACATCGAATCCTATGAAGTCTTTACGTACCATCTTTACTGCAAATGCTTCTGGTGAGTTTTTAAGCTGTAATCACACTTTTAGTTCTTATATGTATATATTTGTTATATGGCTCCCTTTTTAAAAGGTTTTAACCACAAACGACCTTCCTATTTCGATATCCAAATTACAAATAAATATCTTCATTTGAGGCTTAGTGGAATCACTTTATGAGTCTTGGAGTAACGGCATTTGGTGGGAGTAGCAATGGTCCAATTTCGTCGATCTACAATACTAACCTTTTCAGGGATCAAAGGAACATAAAGTACATATATTTTTACTCGAGTAAATTTACAACATTACTCTAGTAAATTTTCCTGTATTCATGGCTTACCCACAGGCATACATTGGCTTAATTCAAGCAATCTTTGCAACGCAATAAGTTGATATGTTTTGCAAACGATCACTTTCTTGTCGGTTACTGTGTTAATGATTCTATTAAAAGCGGTTCATTCCATAGCAGGTCTGCACAATTTGTGTTTTTGTCGTCATTCTGATAATATCGGGAATATTTGCACATTTCAACCGTATTTTACAGCTGGCATAATGTTACATTTCTGGACCTTAGTATACGACATTCTATATAAATTCAAAATATTGAAATTGACTCCTAAGCAAAAATACTGTCATCCGGAAATCAAAATCTGTAATTAGCATGTCCCTGACAAAACAAAATCGATTTAGCTTTTTTTAAATTAGCTTTTTGTTTATGACCAATTCTTGGGCTGTTCAATTGTGGTATTGTTTTTGCTTAAGTTTTTCTATCGATCACCTAAAGCTCAAAATCCAACTGAAGATAAACAACAATTGCTGAAACAAAAGCAAATGCAAGCCATATGCTTTAAGCTAATTTCTTTGTATGTAGCGGCATTTTATCCAATTGTGTGTGTTAGCGGGTATTTCTGCGAATATACTGTTTGCTTTATTAGTATAGTATTTGCTTAAATAATCACATTAACATTGTTGTACTTTTTATTCCGATTATTTTTCATATTATTATAACCTAAAACTGTTAGAAATTTGCTGGGATCCAATTAATATAAAGAACAAAATGGTTACGAATACGGTTCCGCTCCCGCTTTCCGTCCTTGATTTTAAGTAATGAGGAGAGTTCAATTTTCTAATTAATTATATTAATTACATAAAAGCTAATTATTTTTCTCGAGATCCATTTTGTGTTCTAGAATTTCCTTGCCAGCATTTTTTTTTTTTGTTTGTTCTTTTTTTTTTTGCCGTTTTGCTCTTTTTTTCGCTGTTCTTTCCTGTGCGATACGTTTATTTTGCTCAAGCTTTCTTTGAAATTCTTGATCTTGCTGCTCTTTGATACTCATTGCTTGTATGTTTTTTTGTCGAGAATATTCCTTCCTCCGTAAATGGCGGTACACATGAAATTCCCCGGAACCAGCACCAGCACTAGATCCCATAACATTGCGCACAAAGGATGGTGCTATTTGATTATAACCTTTTTCTTTGTGAATCTCGGGTATTACAATTGGCTTATTCTGTTGAGTATATTATATATGTACATCATTATTAGGTATATTAGTATGAAACAAGATATACAATTTAAGTAACATTTAAGATTTGCAGAAAAAATATTAACGAAAGAACACCAGAAAAATAAATTTTAAAATAAATAAATGATGATACAATATTAAAGCTGATGCCAGCGCCTAGAAGGTGTCTCGCTTGGATGCCAAAAACGGTATGACAACGATTACTACGCTTTGCTGTCTCTCCCTACAAGTAAATAATGTGTTTGATTAATTCGAAGTCTTAGTGTGTTATGGGTTGGTGGCGAGGGGATCATACAATTGTATCGACTGGCGGTTGTAAGAACCCAATTAATTCACACAAAAAAAAAAACATAAATAAAAACAATAGCAGTCCAGACAAAACAACTATATTATTAGAAGAAACCGCTCCTTAATATGATTATCATACAGATCTTTTTTTGAATAACATAAAAGATATAAAATATCAAGCCCAATGAAACTAGCGTGCTAGTACCTGAAGTGCAAAAAGAGTGAAATCAGAACCGACAGTAATCGTAAGACAAAGCGGCAACCCTACAAAAATCTCCCCTTGCTGAAGAACGGAGGATCTGGCAGCTGAAAACTCTAATAAGAAACTAGAACATTTCTACACTATGCAGTGACAAAAACAAAAGGAGGTTCACCTTTGAACCTTAAGACGGAATACTAGATATGAGGGCAGTACTGTCAGTATCGTTGCCGAAATTAACGACGGGTTGCTGGAATCTAAAACCAAGCTTCCACGCTCATTTGGAACAAGGAAAAATTGTTTGCACCATCCGCCGTCATTACTCTAAGTCGGTTTACAAAAGTCAGTATCAAGAAGTCAAAGAAGCGGCGGCCAATTGAATGGATAGTATTTCACGAATATTGTGTCAAGATTCCAAATCGTTTGAGCAAATTTGACGAAGCTACAACTATTTTTATATTTATATTATGAAAATTTTACATTACAAATATTTAAAACATTTTTTCCACAATTTACGTTTTAATGCCGGTCCCGGTTATCGGCGTTGCCTTTGTTATAAGGGGCACCGTAATTTCATTTTCCCCCGAGTAACTTTCGAAAATTTTTCCCTTTGCCAAATTATTTAATATTTCTTCGTAAAAATTTGATAGAAATTCTTTAAATGTCATACTTTAATATACAATTTTTATATAAAGAGATTTTAACTGTTGCGTGTTTTTACATGGATTATCGAAATTGAGGCGTAGTAAGCAGAGCGAAGCAAATTGTTGGGCAACTCTCATCTTTTTAAGTTCTGACAATTTGATATATTTCGATTATTTTCCAATGTTTTCGAAAGTGATAACATTGAACCTACTAGGCGACTTTTTGTATCATGTTATTTAGAGAAATTTGTAAATTCGGAACTGGTTGGGTTTAATTCCAAGAACTATCTAATATACACAACTTCAATGTACTTCGGATTTGATTTTCAAAATTTGGCACATAAACTTGAAGCCAGAAAATGAGAAAAATGTTGCCAAATGGTTATTATTTATAATTTTAAATTTATTATTAATTCAATATTTGATTATTTATATTAATAAATATTATTATTATTGAATATATAGCTTAGCTAATATCAATTTAAAATTGATGAATTTTGGGGTTTTTTTGGAGTTTTAGGGAGCAAAATGTTTTAGAGTTGGGAACACTGTTGAAGTGACACAACAGACTCTCTTCTCTGTCATGCACTGCATTTGGTAAACAAATACATGCACGTATTCAACAGATTATTTATGACAGGTATCATGTACGGCAGTGCTATGCTAACTGGGCACTCAGAAAAAAATTCATTGGGCCTCTAACCAGCAGAGTGCAGATTATTTATCACACTAATATAAGTATTTATTTCAATAGAAGGAAATACTTGTATATACTATATGTTCTTTTTTTCCTTTCTTTATAAAATAAAATTAATAACAAAACGCGTCTAATCTAATAAATAGAATCAGTCTGTGAGAATATTATATTATATTAGGTCAAGTAAAAAGTTTGTTCGGTTTTTATCTAAGAGATTGCGTTATTGTCCATAGTACTAGTGTTACGTGTCATATCATGTCATACTATACGGCGATGAAACGTGTTTATTCACGCGCAAAAATTTGGCTTTGACAGTTTTTCGATTGATTTACTCAGTTCGTTGTGAGCGCTCGTCAAAGATGGACACCAACAAAGAGAAAATTCGATATATTTTAAAATTTTTCTTCGATCAAAGCGAAAAAGCAGCCAAAGCGGCTGAAAACATTAATTTAGTTTATGGGTCCGATACTGTAAACGAACGTGTAGCACAAAAGTGATTTGATAGGTTCCGTTCCGGTAATTTCGATGTCAAAGACGCTCCACGCGTCGGGAGGCCTGTCATCGAAAATCGCGATAAAATCATGGAAATAGTGGAAACAGACCGTCACGTGAGCACTTATTTAATTGCTGAGGAAATAAAGATAAGCCAGAAAACCGTTTGGAACCATTTGCATAACCTAGGATTCAAAAAGAAGCTCGATGTTTGAGTGCCACTCGAACTAACGCAAAAAACATGATGAACCGAATTTCCATCTGCGAATCGCTGCTGAATCGCAACAAAATCGACACGTTTCTGAAGCAAATTGTGACTGGCGATGAAAAATGGGTCACTTACGACAATATCGAGCGCAAACGGTCGTGGTCAAAGCTAGGGGAAGCGGCCCAGATGGTGGCCAAGACCCTATGGCCAAACGCTGAATTCGGCCCTCTACTGCCAACAACTGGACCGCTTGAAAGCAGCACTCATCCAGAAGAGGCCATCTTTGATCAACAGAGGCCGAGTTGTGATCCATCAGGACAACGCCAGGCCACACACGTCTTTGGTGACTCGCCAGAAGCTCCTGGAGCTCGGATGGGAGGTTCTAATGCACCCACCTTATAGTCCGGACCTGGCACCAAGTGATTACCATCTTTTCCTGTCCATGGCGAACGCGCTTAATGGTGAGAAGTTGGCCTCAAGAGAGGCCTGTGAAAATTGGTTCTCCGAGTTTTTTGGCAATAGGGACGCCGTCTTCTACGGGGTATAATGAGATTGGCATCACGTTGGCAACAAGTTTACGAACAAAATCGGACAAATGTACACAAAGTTATCATCTTTTGAAAAATCAATAAAAACCCGAACGAACTTTTTACTTTACCTAATATTATATGGCAATAGCACATTTGTTTTCAGAAATAGTAGATTTGTGCACGTTGTCACACATGCAAAAAAAAACAAGCAATAATTCGTTTGTGGACCGCTTTCTTCGAGGTGTCCTTAGAATAAAAAGGTGAGCACGAACCTCTTGTGTAACGTTTTTTCTGGTTTTATTAGGTTTACATGGAATGTACGATGATCGCAAATCACCATCGCATACCGACAAAACGCCTAGATTCTGCCACAAATTTTTTGAGGCGGTTAATATCTATTCCAGCCAATTGCCCCGTGTTCGTAAAAAGTATGACAACCGAGATGCTGCAGTCTCACCGTCAGCGAGCTCAAGGCATCTATAGCAATTCTGCTATCGTAGTGGTTACATACCTTCCTAAAAGTAGCCGCACTTCGGAGAAGTACTTCTGCTGCCACCTTGATGACTGCCATTTCTGCTTGAAATACACTACAGTGGTCCGGCAGTCTGAAACAAGAGTTGATTGAGTGGGAGAGAGTTTCGGAATGCCCCTCACTGGGACACTTAATGTGTCCAGTTTTCGGGAGTCAGACAGCAACCTTCGCAACAATGTCGCAAGTAAGCCGCTTGTTGAACACGTTCCAGCTGTTTAGTGTGGCTTTATCGAGCGCCTTCCACCAGACAAATACATCATAGAACAATATTGGCTTAGCTACGGTTTCGTAAAGTCAAAGCACAAATTTTAATGAGAGAACCCACCGCTTTCCAATAGGTCATTTACAGTAATATTGGACAACCAGTGCCTTCCCGTCTCTCTCCTCAATATTGGGCTTCCATGATAGCTTTCTATCAAGGATGAGGCCCAAGTACTTCACCTTTTCAACAGGGTGAAGCCGAGAGCCCCCCAATGAGGGAGGGAGTGCTTCTGGGATTTTATACCTCCTTGTAAATAAAACCAGTTCAAATTTATTTGGATTGGCAGCTAAGCCGCTTTTTTCCGCCCAGCTAGCTACCAGATTTAGGTACCCTTGTGTTAACTCATAGACGGCATCCTCTGCATAGGCTATAGGCCTATTTGACCGATATTTTCGGTAAAAAGTCAACTATAGGCACTGGGGTCCACATATTCAGTACCTAGGGGCTTGAACAGATTTGATTCAATTTAGATAATTTTAGATCACAAAGTGTCATATTTTAAACGTATTATTTACGCAAAGTTTTACGCCGATATAATCATTGTTGCTTGATTTGCATACTGGAAAGTGAAAAAATCAGAAGGAATTTAAAATTATGTTATATGGGAAATAGGCGTGGTTGTAATCCGATTTCGTACTATAACATAGAAATATGAGAAGAATATTATGTACCGAATTTGGTTGAAATCGGTTAAGCAGATCCCAAGATATGGGTTTTCACCTAAAAGTGGGCGGTGCCATGCCCACCATCTAATTTTGAACGTGGTTCCTATAAAATCATCTCATACCATCCCAGAGATAAAATTGAATGTCTCTGGCTTGTTTAGTGCTTGATTTATCGCGCTTTTAGTAGTTTTTAACAGTACCGTTATATGGGGAGTGGGCGGAGTTGTCACCCGATTTCACACTGTCGATAGAGGTGTCAAAAACATTTGTTATCAGTGAACTTCGTTATTATAGCTTTAGCGGTTTAGGAAATATGCACATTAAACTTATTAGGGGCGGGACCACGCCCACTTTTTAAACAAAATTTTAACTGCGGATGCCCCTCTCTAATGTGATCCTGTGTACCAAATAACAGAGAATAACAGAGCTTAGTTATGGCAATTTATTTGTTTTTGATTAATGGCGTTTTGTGGGCGTGGCAGCGGTCCGATTACGCCCATCTGCAATACCAACCATCTTACGGTACCAAGTTTCATAAAGATATATCGATTTTTACTCAAGTTGCAGCTTGCACGGACGGATGGACAGACAGACACCCAGATTTCAACTCGTCTCTTCACCCTGATCATTTATATATATATAACCCTATATCTAACTCGATTAGTTTTAGATGATACAAACAACCGTTAGGCTATTATACTCTGTAGCAACAAGTTGCGAGAGTATAAAAAGAATTCAATTAACGTATTTCATCGGTTCGACGGGTGGTAGAAAACGCTTTTGGACATTTAAAGGCCCGCTTTAGACGCATTGGTTGAGGTAAGAAAGTTCCACTATTGATAATTTATAATTGATACTATAAAAATAAACAAAAACAGGTCTGGAAATCAGTATAAAAAACGTTAAGATATTTATAAAGGCATTGGATTGGACAATTAATCACCGAAAATAGCGCAAGGCAGCCATGCAAAGATAGAAATGACTGCAGCAGTGGAATAGCCATCAGACAAGCAATTATGACATCTTGTTTACAAAGTATGTATTCTTAACATTTTCATTCACAGAACATACACATTTAAGTACTTTGGTTTAGTATTTTAGTTAATATATGGTTATTATATTCTAATATATTACATTACAGTACGACATATTTTTCACACATTTGATATTCTTAAAACTTGTTTCTCTCCCGTTAAGTATTTTTATTTAATATAGCCAAAGGAATGGTGTTGGTTTGTTCCATTAAATCAAGAGCCTTCTCTTCGTTTTTAATAAATTTAATAAAATATTCTTCCATTATCTTTTGTTTCTTTTTAGCGGGTTCCAGGAAGTCTTCATCATTGTTTCTCTTTCTCTTCGGAATCTGTGGAATAAAAAGTTTTTAATCATATGTTTATATTAATAAATGAAATCAATTTAAAAAAACCTTTGCCATGCTCTCTTCCGTCAGTTCTTGAGTGAAATTGGATTTGTAGGCGCCTATTATTTTGTGAACGTCTTCGTATTCCCAATTCGATGGAGCACTTCCACTTGGGCCAATCATCTTCCTTTCCTGCCTTATATATTTCATTAATAGAAATGGTACTATTTGTGAAATTGTTTACAAACCTGTACTTCTTTGCCAAATTGTTTATGCGATTTCGTAGTTCGTCCGTTGCAAGCAAAACTCCATGTTTATTTTCCAGCTGCGTTCACATTTTAGCATAAATATGGCTATTTTTATGCATTCCATGCAACTGTTGGTTATATTGGGCCCACACTTCAATTATTTTTTTAATGGTTACGTTTCCAACGTACTTTTTTCTTTTCAATTGTTATTTTTTCCTTTTCACGTTTGAATTTAAACTCTTTATGATAAATGTCAAAATGGCTGAAAACATACATATGATTATGACAGAAGAGCTAAAAGCCTTGGGTATGTTCAGTGCAATCCATCGTAGTGCATTGCACAACACCACATAATTTCTATGGTTTCTTGAAAACCATTGTATTACAGAAATCCATTTGCTTTGGAACAAAAATTGAAAATACGGTTGACACACATATGGTTTCTGTACCATACTACAATATGTACTATATGTGTGTCTCTGGCATTACTGTAAGTATATGGGAAGTATGTACTGTCACCGTCAAAAGAAAGTGTACACCTTTTTCTCATACATTTCACTCTTTGTTTCAATATAAAAATATTAAATTTTTTTAAATCAATTATCATTTATACATTATTGAATATTGTTCTTACAAAAACTTAACAGCAATCCAAAATAAAATCCACAAGTACAAAACAACACATACAAAACCAAATATATTCAATATTTCACGCGTCAAAACAAAGTGTACAGTTTAAGAAAAATTAAAAAATTCAAAAGCTAATACTTTGTTTGTCTTCCCTTTGCATGGATAACTGCTTCCAACCTCCTTGGCATTGATTCCACTTAGTTGGACACTACTTCCGGGGAAATTTTGGACCACTCCTCTTGTAAAATATCCTTCAGAGAATTTTTACTGGTTATGCTCCTTTTTCTTACTTTCCGGTCCAAATGTTCCCACAGATGCTCAATGGGGTTTAGGTCCGGTGATTGTGGGGGTCTATCCAGCTGTTTAGGTGTACGGTAAAGCAACCATTTTTATTATTCTTGCCGTATGCTTAGGATCGTTATCCTGTTGGAAGATCCAGGATTAATCTAAGCCCAATTTTTCAATACTGGGGAGCAAATTTTCTTTTAAAATGTTTAGATAATTTATTTAGTTCATTGTGCTATCAATCAACACCAGCCTTTACACTCCACTTGCCGTCATACACCCCCAAACCATCACCGAACCCCCACCATGCTATACAGTGGATGTAATATTTTTCTGTTCAAACTCTTGATTTTTGTTTCTCCAAATTTTTGTAATTTTTTTCTTCCTGAAACCTTCGAACGTGCTTTCGTCAAAAAAAATTACGTTATTCGACAGACATTTTTACGGCACTGACAGTTGGATCTATCTTTAGCTCTCACAACTGATCGCATTTCTGTATCACTGAGCCGCTTTGGCCTACCCGAACGTGTCGGATCTTCTAATTCTCCAAACTTTTTTTGCTTATCAATCATTTTTTTCACTGTGTTATGGCTTCTTCCAATTATTGAAGAAATTTCGCGGAAAAATTTTCCGTCTTTCCTAAAATTGATCACTAATTTTCTTACATCCAATGCAGTTTGCTTACCCATTGTCAAATTGATGTGCTCTTGGCAAATTTCCAAACGCAAATAAAATTCTATCTACACAAGGATACTAAATAACATTAGAATGAAACAATTACAAAGAAAGAACTATGGATAACCATATATTTTTTTGCGTAAAATAAGTATGCGAGGCCTATTACCGTAACTGTACACTTTGTTTTGACGCGTGAAATACTGAGAATATTTGATTTTGTTCGTATTGTTTTTGTATTTATGGGATTTTTTTGGATTGCGTTAATTTTTTGTAAGAACAATATTTAATCATTCATAAAAAATACATAACACATAACATATACATGATGGGGGATAATGAATATAAACAAAAATTTATTTGAAAATTTTTAGATATTTTTATACTGAGATAAAGACTGAAATGTATGAGAAAATGGTGTACACTTTCTTTTGACGCTGACAGTACATCAAATGCAATGCCAGACGAACAGCACGTTGCCTAGTTGCTCCATTAATACTGTCGCAAGCAAAGGAAAGCAATTTCATTTATATTTAATGATATGTAAATAGCTACGCAAAAATTTAAACGTTGCTTTAGAGTATGTTTTCACACACCTTTAATTGCTTTGTGCTTAAGTAATTCCTTCTTGACGTTAAAATTTTATGAAAAATTCAATCAATTGATTTTCCTGCTTATTTGAACCACCTAAACGGTCAAAAATATATTTTATACAAAATACGTGTACATTTTCTCGCATATTTAAGAGGGTTTGAAAATGGCTTAGATTCAAAATTCGTTCATCTAGATAATGTTTTAACAATGAATTTGATTATTTATAAATGGTTGTTGATGTTAGAACGTTTTACATAGGATTCAGGCAGACTGGTTGTGGTGAATATTCAAAACGAAGAAATCAATAAATAAATAATAAATCTGTTTAGCCCTGTAAACTTTTAAGTTACCTACTTCAACAAAAAATGCCACGTCTTCGCGGAAAAGCAAGAAATATTGGTCGACGTTCTCATGCGCAATGTCGGGTCGCTAGTTACTATTGTAAGTAAGGATCTATTACTTAAAGTTAAAGTTAAAAATATTATTTATTATTATTTAGATATCATTAATCGGGGTGTACCAAAGTTTTTACGCGCAGAAATTCTTTTTGCGTTGGCGGCCTTCGGCCGCGCTTCAAAAAAAATAACCCTGGTGAATTCAACACCGGGGTGTACCAAAGTTTTTACGCGCAGAA